GTTTTTTAACGCTTTTTGAAAGCCGAACATCCGGCGCAGCTTCTGCAGCTTCCAATTGGCTGCAGGCACTTTCTGCTGCCAATCAGAAGCCGTGCTTTGGTTCCTGAACGTTTTGGAAGTCAAATGGACTTCCGGAACGGATTCCATTTGACTTCCAAGGTACGACTGTATTGAATTACAGCGGTGGTTTGAGGAAGGTCACAGCTCAGAGACAGGTGAACAGAAGAGTTGGGAGGTGTTGGGAGGAGAGAAGGGAAAGACAGAGACAGAGCAGCCGGCTGACATGTTATCACTGGAGAGCATTTCTGACCCCACTTCTCCCAGAACTCAACATGCATTGAAAGTTGAAGAGCGAAGGACACAGAGACAATTAGCCCCTGGTGGCCACCATAAGGGGAAGTGCTGTTGCTAGGAAGGGAGCGGGGAGGAGCTCAGTTGGAGCAACTCCATTTTTAGGAAGGCTGCATTCCTTCGTCGTTCTCTGTGAATCGTTGAATAAATAGCTTGGGAAGAACTCTTACAATTTCTCTTGATTCTGGGCTGCCCCGTGGGAGGGAGCTGATTTTCCCCGAAGCCTGACAGACAGAATGAATGGAAACAACAAATTCAAATGATGAGAAAGGGAATTTTGTCTGAATGTTAGGAAGAATGCATTGATCTTACAAGCTGTTTGGCAATGGACATAACAGGTCGCACTGACTTGGAAGGTGGTAGACTCTCCTTCAATAGAGGTTTTTAAGCAGGTTCTGGATGGCCACGAGAGTGGATATGCCTCCATTTGGTTTTCTGATGTCCCTTTGGATATTATGAATCTAGGATAGCTGAGGCCAACTCCAGGGGAACCAGTTCCAGATGTGGTTTCAGAAGTTTTCCATGTTAAATCAGAACGTTGGCAGAGTTGAAAGTGCAGGCTGAGTGAACCTGTTAAACAACAGCGGGACAGAGCCAGGGAAATCCACTTTCCCCTGCCATTAAGACGTGTTTGCAAAGACAAATAGGGAATTGTGGGCGCCACTTTGTTTCCCGTGCCTCGAATCTTACAACTCCTAGTTGGATGGCTTTCCAACAGGCCAGCTGTAGATAACGATCACCTTTTTAAAAGAAAAAAGGGAAAAAAAACTTTTGTGCTGCTATCAGGGGAAAGTAACCTTTTGAAAAATGTTTTGAAAGCATTTATCTCTTAAGCATATGGCCCTGCTGGGGTGAAGGTTGAGCTGCATTGGTGTTTAATCCTTTCTGCCTTATCTTCAGAAGCTAGCTCAGCATATCTACCACCCCAGAAAAACCAACAACAGAAGATGATAGTGGAAGGAATTTGGAGGAGCAGCTCCCCTGGAAGAAAAAAAAAGCAAGGGAAAATCTCCCTTGTGATATAAGGAAGAGGAATTAGAAAGCATATTTAATAAGAATTTGGATGATCTGCATCAGTCTCCTCCTACCTGGTGCCTTCCAGATTTCTTGGGCTGCAGCTTCCATCAGCCCCGGCCAGCATGATCAGCTGGGACTGATGGGAGTTGTAGTCCAAAGAACAGTGGTGGGTGGTGTCCTTTGAGGTAAGGCAGAAAGCGGCGAGCCCAAATGTAGGTGGCACCAGAGCCAAAGACAGCCAGAGCCATAGGAGCCAACTCCAGGGGGCTGTGGGTGCTTCAGCACCCACAATAATATAATTGTGGGGGCCAGGCACCCAACAAAGTCAGTGAGCAACTCCAGAGAGAGGCAGCCAGCCTCTGCAGTGCTGCCTCCGAGAGAAAAGCAGTTCAGCTCTGCCTTCCACAGCCAGCCAGCCAGCGAGGCACCCTTTTTTTTGGAGGGGGGTAGAGCTCGGATGTGGAGTCTAAGCCCCTCCCTGCAGAAAAGGGTGCCTTGCTGGCGGTGGAGAGGAGGAGGAGTGCGGCAGCGAGTGCTGCAACGTGGACCTGGATTGCACGCCTGCGTTACGGCGATGAGCACCCACAATCCTGAGGGCGAGATGGTGCCCCTGGCCAGAGCTGTTTTGTCCTCCTTATCCACCCCCCCTGCTGTGTTTTACAAGGGCAACACCAATGGCTCATCCACCCTTCCACTTGTCCTGTGCCTAGAAAGCACTGGTCTGAGTGGCTTCCCTCTCAATCTAGGTTTCCTAAGCATTGCCCCTCTCCTTTCCCAGGGAAAACATGCTCTTTAGTGCCAAATCGGAGCAAACATCAATCTGGAGAATACCTGAATTGCCATTTGCTCCAATTGATTGCTAAAGAGTGGTTTTCCCTGGGGGAGAGCAGTAGGGGGGAAAGGAAGTGTGGATGAGCTCTGAGATGAAAGCTGAAAGGATAAACTGATTACAAATAAGAAGGCAGGTAAACAGAGGCTGGCTGGGGGTGGGCAGAGGTTGCTGGGGCAGTGCCCCATTTGTCCAAATGGACCAGCCTCCCCTGCCAAGGCATCTGGTGGGTCTAAGGCTGGTTTGCATAATACCTCCATTGACATGTTGGCTGTCGTCTCCGCATTACATCCCTCCTCCTGATTTCGCAACCACTGTCTTTCACTGTCAGTTCTAATAAAGCGTGCTGGTCAGCTTAAACTCCCTGGGAATGCAGAGCCTTGCTGTGTGAACTGCATCCGCCTGAGGCTCCTCATGCATGATTTAATGTGCTTTGTAAATGTCAATAGGTGGGGAAAGCGCTCAGCTCCTCGCAGATTTCCTCAAATCCTCGCAGACGCGTCTGTCGATTATGTATTAAAAAAGCACTGCAGCTTTCTTTCCAAGGCTGGTCCGGTGCAACACCTGCCTAACAGGAGGGGCTGTGTGTGTGTGTGCGCGCGCACACACACACACAGAGTTTTCTGTGCAATTGCCAGGAGCAAAATATTGGCAGGTTTCAAACTTGTGCCCACCAGCCAATGGGATGCTTTCTTTAGAGCACCTTAGTTCCCATGAAAGACTTGTGTGATGGTCTCTGGATTCTCCTCGTAAACATTTGACATCCTTCAAGTGCTTTGATTCCATGCTTTAAATTCATTCAAAGGAGCTTCCCACCCCTAATTTATTTTGAAATGGGATGTAAATTTAATTCTGCTGGAGGAAGCATTGTCTTAGGCCCTACTGGGATTACCAGTCTCAGCTCTCCAGTCCTTCTCCTAAACCCAACTAAGATTAACTATCTTAAGCAAATGAATGGAAAAATTTCCCTTATTTACCCATGGCTCCTTTTCCGGTCATTGTTGGTTTGGTTTATCATCATCATCATCATTATTTGTTAGTTCTTTGGGGGCATAGATGCATTCTCTTGTCATATTAAGAGGGCTGCACACATTGATGGTGTTATATATAAAGGTAAAAGGTAAAGAACCCCTGGACGGTTAAGTCCAGTCAAAGGTGGCTATGGGGTTGCGGCGCTCATCTCACTTTCGGGCTGAGGGAGCCAGCCTTTGTCCACAGAGAGCTTTCTGGGTCCTGTGGCCAGCATGATTAAACCGCTTCTGGCGCAACAGAACACCGTGACAGAAACCAGAGCGCATGGAAATGCCGTTTACCTTCCCACCACAGCGGTACCTATTTATCAACTTGCACTGGCGTGCTTTTGAACTGCTAGGTTGGCAGGAGCCACCCGCGTCCCGTTATATATAAAATAAGTTCAGCAACACTAAGAACAACAACCACAGTAATACAACAGCATTGTATTTTGTAAACATACACATTTATTCATTTTAAAAATTGCTTTTAAACTTCAGAGTAATAGAATCCCACAATGTCTGGTTCAGATACCTTTACTGTCGCTTTTATACTTAAAACTGTTGTATGTGTGTTTCTGGGTTTTTTTGTGGGACACTTGGCAAGTATAGAGCAGTAATATCATTATTATCATTAGCATCATAAATATAACCTGAATTAATACAAGTAAATAATCAATGAGTGCATAGGGATAAACTGCCCCTTAATGTTTTGGTGTACATTCCCAAGGCTTTTAGGTTGCTTAGGGGGCTGGGTAAAGAGCAGCCACATAAAAAGATGGGAGCCCCCATTTGTGGCAGAAAATGTATCTGAATGTCCTGGAACAACACAACTTTCCAGGGCATTCTGGGAAAATAAAATAGCAACCATCAAGAGCCGGCAACGGAATAGCCTCTGCTGCCAAAGAAAGTCAGTGCTCTTTTGTACCCAAAAGGACTGGGAAGTGGGGACAAATGTGAGTTGTGAGAAGCAAATCCGTTCTTAGTATACCCATTTCTGACTCATTTTGGAATGAGTGGAAATTGAACCAAATGGAAAACCCCTATTTGGTTCCATCTTTCATTTGTCCCCAAACAGACGCATGCCCCCAACACGGAATTTCATGGGCTGATCCACTGGCGGTAGTTGGATAGGCAGACGTCGGGTGTCAAACCAGATAGTCTTTTGATCTGTGAACATCAGTTGCCCTTCAATAACTTCCAGAGGCGATGCAGAATTTGTTTGTAGAATTTGCTTTCCAGCCCCTGTTCTCCCCTGCCGCAGTCCTCACTCGCTCACGCCAGTGCTGTGCAATCAGTCCTAACTTACAGCCCGAGTAATCTGATCAGCCATGCTGCTTTCTAAATGGAGGGCTCTGCTTTGGCCTCTGTTGAGAGGGTGACAGCTGTCAGCTACAGATAGTAGCCTACAGATCCTGGCTGCTAAAACCCACTCATTCATTCCTGCCACAGATCATTGCCCACAGCTGGAAGCCTTGCTTTTACAGACTGCCGATTAGCTGCCAAAGGATCTACATACTGTATTAGCAAGGTCAGCCACTGAGATAAAGGCTAAAGCCTTCATCCATCTCAACTATTTTTATTTTTTAAAAATCAGATAGCCTTGTGGAATAACTGCTTCTTTGGATGTTGCTTCTCCTTGCCTCTCTCCTCCCCCTTTCCCAGGAGCTGTTATAATATCTCTGTGTCATTGCATGGAAGAAAATGGGTTCTTCTTTTAAAAGGATGTATGCTACAGTAGAAGATGCTGGCGTTTCTGCTTTGGCACAAAGAAAAAAGTTGAAGATGGAGGAAGGGTTGTAGCTCAGTGGTGTGGAGCATTTGCTCTCCATGCAGAAGGTCGCAGGTTCAGTCCTTGGTATCTCCAGCTAGTACTGGTCATGTCCCCTTCTGAAATCCTTGAGAGCTTCTGCCAGTCAGTGTAGACAATACTGAGCTGGATGGACCAATGGTCTGGCTCAATATAAGGCAGCTTCCTATGTTCCTGTTGGCCACTGTTGGATTTAATACACATGGCCAGCTTTCCACATCACATAATTGGAATCTAACCCTGATATTACAGGTACTTTTTGAGAACTATGTCAAATGGCAAGTGGTTGCACTCTCAACACAGGAGTGAGGAACGTTTGGCCTTTCAGATGCTGCTGAACTACAACTCCCAGCAGCTCCAGCAAAAATGGCCAACAGCCTGAAATGATGGTCATTGCAGTTCAGCAACACCTGGAGCACCAGCACTTAGAGCACACCTAGGCTCCAATGGATTGCAGGAATTGAGCTATTTGATCAGGACTTTTAGAAGGTTGAGAGCTATGGAAACTTGAGGAATACAATCTTTATGAATTCCAATATGAATTGACCTAACTGCCCACTTCAGCTAATGTGCAGATTCCTGGAACTTATTTATTCACTGGCTTTTGTTCTCATACTGTTCCCAGCTCAAAAATACATGAAAAACATCTTTAGATATAAGCATTTTTAAAGGATAAAATGTTCTTACACTGTGGCTAGACTGCTCATGGGGACAGGCTATTGCCAGCACATAACTGTAGTTCTCAAAAGCTCACACTGGCTTCCCAGTTTTACTTTGCCAAGTTCAAGGTTTGTGTATTAATATACAAGGTCTTGAACAACTTGGCTCCAGGATACCTGAAGGACTGCCTTATCTTTATGTCCCTGCCAGATCACTGAGGTATTTGTAGGACTGGCAGGTCCCCTGTGGTTTGCCTGTTCCTCGTATCCACTTGGAGTCATGCTGCATTTAGTATTGTGGGCCTAATTTTACAAAACTCCCTTCCAATTGAGGTCAGACAGGCCTTCTCCATGTTGAACTTCCAGTGCTTGCTGAAAATGACTTCTCCTTTTCCTTCTTCTTCTCCTCCTCCTCCTCCTTTTTCTTCCAGTAGTTTTTTTTTTTTTTAATTGAACTCTAATGTTATCATCTTACTGCATTGGGTCTCTTGCACACCACTTGGAGATGATTATGTTTAAGCTGGTGTACAAATTGTTGGAAATAATTAAGTAAAAAAAAGTATTCAAATGTGAATCTGTGTGCTTTTCTTTACATAACTGACTTATTCAGATATGGGAGACAGGACTTATGGGCAGACAAAGGCGAAGGTTAGTCTAGATCAGAAATAGACTGATTTGCCTGTGCAACTTTCAGACTGCATGTTGCCCACAGATTGTCTCCATCAAGCACATTTACACCATGCACACACATGTTACTGATGTTCTACTATGGTCTAGAATGTCCAGGAGGATGTTGGGCATGACAATTCAATTCTCTTCCAGTTTTAAGACTCTGTAAAATAGGGCGTTTGATTTCTCCACAATGGGGTGGGAAAATCTCCCTAGGAAACTGATGTCATGCTACTTGGCTTTTAAGGTCATCTAGCTTTCTCCTTTGTTTCTACATTTTCATGAAAATCAATGGCTCAGCTCACAGGCATTTTGATCCCCTACACCCCCCCACCACCACTAGACGGTCTTGCTTGGTCTGTGCTGAACAGAGTTCAAAATTCTCTACACTGAGATCCCTGGAAATGTAAATCTTTCTCTGAACAACTTTGAACTCTGATAACTAGATGAGTCCATCCATACAGATTACCAAGTAGAATAACAATTCTGCTTGTTCTCTGAGTAGAATGGAGAATAAGTTGGTGTCAGCCTGGATAGTGGTTTTTGTTTTGTTTGATATTGAAGGCACACCTCTGCCTTTATTTATACATACGGCGAATATAAGGCTTGGGAGGGACCATAGCTCAGTGGTACAGTACATCATTGGCATGCCATAGATCCAAGCATGCCATAGTTCCATCCCCAGCATCTATAGGTAAGGCTCTAAAAGACTACTGTCCAAAACCTTAAGGAGCCAGCAGCCTTCCCCAACCTTGTTCTCTCCAAATGCTTTGGACCACGAGTTCCATAAGTTCCACCAGTCAAGGATCGTGGGAGTTTTTATCCAAGAGCACAAGGCTGCCAAAGGTTGGCATAAGCAATCCTGATTTAGATGGATCAATCATCTGACTCAGGTTAAGACAACTTCTGAGATCCAAATCTGTCACAAGTAGGCAATGGTCAAGCAGTCCAGCAGAAGACAAAAATGTCTAACAGGCTGATGACTTCGAATGAGATATTGTGAGTCTGTATTTATGCTATTACCTGGTCCCAGTCCTTCTGTGCTTATCCTCCCAGTTGGTCCTGAGAGTGCCAATATACTTTTACATCAGAGGATTCTGGGTGAGGCCATTGCTACAAGAGCTAAGATATCCTTTTCGTCACTGGACACCTCCTCTGAGCTTGTCCTCCTGTCCTTACTGTCCTTATGTTCAAACAATCTCCTAGTTTTTCTTCCCTTACATTCCCCCCCCCCCAAAATGTGAGGGCTCCCGACTCCAAATCCCATTTACTTCTTTCATTTTTCTTTTGATGCTGCTTTGGAAGGCGCCACCCTCTTATCTCTGTTCCCCTAAATAGCACAATCTGCAAACAAGATGGAACACATCCTGACATTTCCTCCCCTTCTCCCCTGATTCTCTCAGCTTTCTGATTCCTCATCAAGCCTATGCCTCCATCTCATTGTTTCTGCTTTATTTCTGTATGCCAGGAGAAGAGATGTGTTCTCTAAACTGCCCTTGTTTATTGCTGGGGAAGTCCTTTCTCCTCACATACTTCCTTACTCTTTTCTCTCTCTCTTTGCCCGTTCATGGTCTAGCTGGCAGTAGAAATTGTACTCCAAGGAGTCCTAACTACTGGCAAGATTTGGCTTCATGATGTCATAATATGATGTCACTATTAAGTGAAGTAGGAATGGGGAGAGTGCCTCCTGCCCTCACCCGGGAGACTAACAAGGGAAGGAAATGGCACCTTCTAACACTCGAGAGCACGTTCATCACCACAAAATCATTGAAATGCCAAAAAAATGTTGTAACTTGTGAAGAGGGGGATAGAAGAGCTAGGGGACATAGGACCAAATTCCTAGGGGCCGAGGTCCCTTCAGTCCGCCAATAAAATATTTGAGGGGTCTGGGGGCTCCCAAAACTGGTGGGCATTGCCATTCGAATGCTGTCTCTCTGTGTGTCCTGTGTTCAGTTATGAGGGGCAGGGCTTACCTGCCTCCCCCAATATTTTATTCAAGTTGGTACCCCTGCTAGGGAGCATTTTGTCAAAGCACTGCTTCGAATATTCTGTGGTCTTGGTTCGAAAGAAAAATTATGTCATTGTATGCATTCCCTTGCATGTTGCTGAAATGGTTAGGATCTTAGCAGACAGTTGATTATCTACGTGTGTGTGTGCATGCACAACACACACACACAAACTCCCAAGTGCAAAGGAAAGAGGGGGGGGAGCGGTGGAGAAAAAAACCCAAGTGCTGAAATATTACCCCTTAAAACATATTCAAAGACATAATAAAGCATTAAAGTGAAAATATTGTTGAGACAGCTTTCATTATGCTTGTTTCAGGGCTCATAATGGCTTAAATAAAAGTGACTGAGCAAAAGAGACATAACTATATAAGCGCTGAATTTCTATTATGCTGCGAAAGGCCTTGAAGTTTTCTGACAGTGTCAGGACATGGTGGCTGGTTTCAACCGAAGGTCAGAATCGGCACCGCGCTGAAGGCATTGAAAAGTGTTGCTCCTTCTTTTATGGCCTGCTGACACTCTTGGGAATTGATCTGAAAACCTCGACGTGGGTATGGGAGGGGGGAAGCAGGCCTACCAGGGCTGAAGGGCTCCCTTTGAATTGGCCGGGATTTGTCCAGCAGTTGTACTTGGGCCATTCTGCTTCTGAGAAGTCCTAGGCTTCTCCTTTTCCTTCTTCTCCCTCTCTCTCTCTCTCCCCCCTTCTTCTGCTCTTGAGGGAGATTAATATTTCAGCTATTCCGTTTTGTCCAGGGCTCCTAAACGCATTCGGAATGAAAAGAGAGGTTAAAAGAGGGTCTCCGGGAACGGCTAGCTTCAGAGAGACTAGATCATTTCATGAAGGGAAATCAATTAAAAAAGGTTGACTGTGAACATTTATCCATTTAGCTCAGCTGCTATTGAATTTTCATGATGGACTTCGACTCTTCGGAGAGTGCCGAGTTAATGGCAATTGTTCCTTTCTCTTCAAAATTTATTATCTGGTTTATTCAATGGAAAACACTCCATCAAAACGGAGAGAGGCCTAAAGTCTATTGATAGGTTTGTCTGTGTGGGGTTGGAAACGGGGCGGTTTGTCGCAGATGTCCAGCCTTTGAAAGGAAATTAAACAAGTATCTCATTACAGAACGCTTCAGCGGTCCCTGGAGGTGGCCTTAGAGGCAGCCGATTTAATGAGCTGGGAATCGCAAATGCTGCCAAAGTTTGCCCCGGCCTGTCTTTCTGGAGAAGTCCCCCTATTTAGGTCCACTCAAGCAGAGGAGAATAGCACCCCACTCTTTCCTCTCTTTCAACTCCAAAGGTGGGGGATAATGCTTCTCCCCCCCCCACCCACCCTTGTGACATGCATGCAGAGGAATTATGTGTGCTAATTTGATTAGGGGGAGATTTGATTAACTGGAAAATGAGGGCTTTGCTAAGACTTTCACACGCTTAATTTATCCCTCGCAAAAGGAGACGCAACATTGTATCATGAAACTCAGGAAGGCATATGGGAACCCTATTCAGGAGAAAAGGCAGCTTTTCAGGGCCCTCAATATCGGGGATTGCCATGGTTCATATTGCGATAATCAGTTTAGAGCATTTGCTTTGCTGCAGAATACAAATTGCATTTGGCATTGCCGGTTAAACGGTTCAAAGAATAATGAGATTAATATAGTAGGGAACTTAGCTGAGCAAAATACCCTCCTCTCTCTCTCTCTCTCTCTCTCTCTCTCTCTCTCCC